TAGGTGATTGTAATTTCGAAATGAACCCTTTATTTCGACAACCGAGTTAGATTTTTCTAATTCCACGTGTCATGCCTCTTCCGGATATCTCAGTTTTAGTTATTTCACTTAAAAAAAACCCTCAGTTTTCCTAGTTTTTGTTCCCCTCTACTGTGGTCAGGTATTAAACTCACAACTCTTTCGGTCAAGTCACTGGAGTATTTCAACCAACGCTTTTATCCTTAGTAACATCAGCTTTTTAATTTTGGTGACTTTATAAGTAAAATTGTAATATTGTAACATGAGCTCTGATAAAAAAGAAATTAGTTATGGACACATTAGCTTTTTAAGATACTGCCTCAGTAAACTTTTTTTTTTATCAAAACTCATATAACAATTTGCTGTTATTATTGTAATGGTTAATGAGACATTGCGTTTATAAACGTCTTGAATATGACAACAAAGATGAGGACAACAGTCCAAACAATGTAAATAACTTAAATAATTATAATACCTCATCTCAGAAATATAGACATATCCTGAAGAAGCCCGGTGCGTACAACGGCCGAATTGTCGTTAATATGAGAATAACGATGTCTACAATAATCCAAATAATGTAAATTGTGTAAATAGTTACAATACCTCATCTCAGAAATAGAGAAAGATCCTGAAGCAGGCTGGTGCGTACAACGGCCGAAATGTCGTGAATATGACAATAACGATGAGTACAATAGTCCCAATAATGTAATTAGTGTAAATAGTTACAATACCTTATCTCAGAAACATGGATATTTCCTTATTTGTTTTTTCATCAAATAAGTTTTAAAAAAATATGTAATACGAAAGATGTCCCCCAACTCTTTACAAATTAATTTTATATATTGGAAATCGAAAAAAAAATGTTTGAGATTTATACATTACGTAAATCACTTACAATAGGTTTATCATTACTAAGAAGTCAACCTGACACATAAAAGCTCAACCCAGACTTCAAGCGGAAATATATGCGTTCCGTCGCTAAAGACACTGGAGAGATGTTCGGTCCTTTGTAACAGTCGCGAAAATACCTAACACCTCCGTCCACGCTCTAAGAGCCAGGTCAAAACAAATACGGAATGGAACTATCCAATCCTCTTTTTCCAGCCTGGACTGAATTCAAAAACATTTTGCGCAATTTTATGGTTTATGAATTGTTTTCCAACGTACATCTTTCTCGCCAGATGATATGTTGCTACCTTTTGCTATTATATCGCTATTTTGATGACAAATTTTCGGGTGAATACATTCCTTGGTTCCGCTAATACACTATCTAGCAACCGCCGAGCTACGTACACAGAATTGACTCATCTGCAATTCCTTCTTATTTCGTTGTTGAGGTTCCGTTCAGATTCTTACCCAAAACTGTTGCATTGTGGGACGAACTCCTGAGCGGATGCTTCCGCGGTCATTCCAATCTTAACCTCATCAAGTGGATCAAACGTTATCTATACACATATCCTTAAAATATTACCCCGATCTATATGCATTTACAACATCCAAATGTAGTAACTGTCTACAGAAGGATGCTAAGGATATCTTGGACCGAGCGTGTGAGGAATGATGAGGCCTTAGAGAAGATGCAAACAAAGAGGAGGCTTATATTTAACATCAGGAAGCGGCAACTGAAGACACATAATGAGGAAGAAGGGCCTGGAGAATTTGATACTCACGGGTCGAATAGAGGGAAAGAGTGACAAGGGAAAACAACATGTGACATACCTGGTGGAATGGACGTGGCCTGGGGCAGGAAGCAGAGGGATGGAACTTGTTGAGAGCTGTAAGGGATAGAAGGAGGTGGAGAGCCATGATCGCCTACGTCCTGAAAGAACATGGCAGATGAAAAGAAAGAATTGCTTGAACAATAGTAAGAAAATGAATGCGGCACATACTTTTACTTGTTTACCACTGAAATCCAGTATGGAGGACGACAGTCAGCACTCAACAATTACGAAGTGTACAATTGCTAAAGAAGCGGCCATATTTGTACTGTAGCAGCTAAAGAAAACAGGCACGATCAAGCACAAAATTCGATCCCGTGACCACAATACACCAACTATAAGCACACATGAGGGGAAGGCAATGTGGCATACTTAAAGATATGTTTGGGCACCTGGAGGTGGAGTAATGATTAGCAAACTAGTCTCGCTAGAACTATTACGACTGAGTAGTGAGTTTCATTCTTACTGGGTCCCCCGCCTACTTTCGGCCTTGTGCCACATCTAAGCTATGCTTGGAAAATCACTACTTAAAGAAAAGTTATGGCGAAAGTTCTGATAACTTTTGCCTTACACTCGTATTAATTACAAAAAAAAGAAAAATCTAGGGAATGTTTTGGTATATTACTACTTCTTCTATGAGACGTTTCCCACCAGTTCAGTGAAGTTAAGCAATGACGAGCCTTGTCAGTATCTAGAAGAAAGTGAGCGCCTGAGAATACCATGTGCTGTAAACTTGAATGGGCAATTGTTGTAATATATAATTAATCGGAGGGCTGAGTTTCAATTCCAACTCTTTTCGTTATATTCACTTGCGTGCAAATAATCTTAGGAAAGGTATGACCCCCCCCCCCACACTGCGTACTCCCAGGGTTGTGGGTTAATTAGTAACATTTGTACGAGTTGTTTCCATTCATGGCGTAAACGATCATGGCTCTCCACAATTTCCGGACCTTTGTATCCCTTAGTAATTTTTTTTTATCTTTCTTAATCCATGTTCTGGCAATCATTTGCATAATCCCTTTAAATAGGTTATGCACTGCTTTCCCACCGACTCTTTTGTCTTCAGTATGTTCAGGGTGTGTGGACCACCTCTTTCTGATTCGAAGCCTTCCTCTTTTTCTTCTTCTTGTATCATTCAGGATGCGGACGATCATGGATCTCCACAATTTCTTGCTTTCCTAGCTCTCAGTAAAGTGTCTCTTATTGCTATCTCAGACAATAAAACTATTAAAAACTGTACTATACAATATGTTTATAAAACAATTAAAAACCATAATATACACGGTGTAATATAAAACAATTAAAACCTGTAATAAACGCTATGTATCGAACACAATTAAAACTGTAATATTAACTATGTCAGTCAAGACAATGTTTCTACAATGGAATGTTGGAAATTATTTCAGGACATTCTCAGTTTTTCAGTTTCAGATTATTTTTTATAAGAATTCGTGAATTTCGTGTTTTTTTTATTAAAAATATTTAGAGTTTATTTAATGGAATTTAATTTTATTATTAAACTCCTGTTGTTTATCGCTGGGTGATGAAAAATTACAAATATGACTGAACAAGCGTCTGCGACAGGGATTGGCTAGATGCTCTTGCAGGGGTGTTCGAAAACAAGTAACCGGTTATTATTATTATTATTATTATTATTAAGCAGTAAATGTATAGGTCTCTTCAAATAGGTTCGTCTATCGCCCGGTTCAAACTCTTCCCCGGACATTTGAACAGGGGTAGAAATTTATCCGTCGTTTCCTACTTAGGATTGGGTATCCGGTTCCTTCTAGAAATTTTCTCATTCTCTTTAAATCCCCTCGCGTCTTTGCGGAATTATTGCCTTGCTTGGGGTGAACTGATTAAAAATCATCATGGTGGTATCTAGATAAATGGAGAGAATTAAAAATTTCTTTATTAAGATTTTGGGGGTGTTCTTGGTAACAACCAAGAATGTTTAAGCTAAAACGGATATGCATTCAGGACAATACTATTAAACATTTTGTCACGAGGATTATTATACAAACTGCTCCCAAAATATTCAAAGACACATAACGGAATGGCAGCACTTTTCTTCAAATATTAATCAGATTGCAAAATTGAAGTTCATCATTAAAAGGGATATACGTAAAGATAGAATCCTTGTGGAATTTAATATGTATATGAACGCAAAAGAGATATTTTACGAAACAACGTATATATGAACAAAATATTTTACGAAACGACATACTTTGTTGCTCAACGTAATTAGTTTGACCATAATTACGATTAAAAAAATTCTAGTTTAATTAAAAGAGAAAAAAATTATTAAAATGAAAGTTTACAGAAACTGTTTAATTGCTCCATCAGTCACAAAAAATTTGCATCCAGATTCGTACATTTCTCTTTTCTTTTATTATCAAATTATTTCATTTATTCATTATTCTAATTTATTGTAATTTATTTTTCTAATTTATTTTTCTAATTTATTATTCTAATTATTATTATGTAAAATGTTGGATATTTAAAAACAAAAGGAATGAAGTCACAAACAAAAAGAAACCCAATGAACACGTGACACTAAAACAAATTCCACTTTGTCATTCATTCTCCTAATAAAACTAGAAAACACAATGAAAGAATGAAGTCCCAATATGAACATATGACATAATAAAATAATTATTTATTTAGGTATGTGAGAGATTGTGTTAAGTAGATTTGTGTAGAAAATATCTTTTGGATTCATTTATAAATAAACACTTGAATTGCTCAAAAGTTTTTCATAATAAAAAGTGATAAACTCTTTCTTCTTCTTCTTCTTCTTCTTCTTCTTCTTCTTCTTCTTCTTATTCTTCTTCTTCTATCATCATTATCAACAATAGTATTATTATTATTGTATTATGATAATTATGCTTGTCCCTCCATTCATGTGTTCGCACGACCGTTACGCCCTGTCAATACCTCATAAATAATAAATTATTCAATTTTGATCGCGTGGGAAAGATTGCGAAAAAGAAAGAAAGAAAGAAAGAAAGACTGGAATATAGAAATAGAAAAAGAGAATTATAGTAAGCTGATAAGAACAGATACTACATATTTTTGCCAAAAAAGCCGAGAAACATTGGTGACCATAACACATGTTCTATTCTTCAGAGGCATAGTACCAAACGAATGAAAACCGAATAAGACAATCCTCAGAAATCCGGTTTCCATCAATAGAATAAAATCGATTGCTGAATTGTTTTAGAATTATTATTTAGAGAAATTTTCATTAGACGGTGTTTTTGATCACGTGAAGAAGAAGACGAGAGAATTTGGTTGCAGTAAGAAAAGTAATGAAAGAAAGAAAGAAGCGTTAAGCTTAAATTTGAACGCGGAGAAAAATGGTTTCAGTGAGAAAATGAATGACTGAATGAATGAATGAATAAAACGAAGAAAGAAAAACTGAAAAAAGAAAGAAAGAAGGAAAGATACAAGTGTTTAAGTGAAGTGGAAAAAAAGTTTGCAATGTCAATTTTTTATTCATTTATTTTTTACTCCTTACTCCTTAAAATAATAAGTAGCACTCATATTTTTTTTATTATTATTGCAATATTTTGTTAAAGTTACTAAGCTCAAACATTTAACGATGTGATAGGGGAATTTCTACGAATATTTTATAGCTGTAGAACTAGCCATAAGCTTCTTCAATCAGTAACTGAAGAATTAAGATTCATCATAAATATAAAAGAGGAAAAACGAGAAAATTTCTCAGAATAAATCTTTTAGAGGAAATGAAAATAATTTTCTCAAAATAAATCTTACAAAGGAAATGAAAATAATTTTTCATTTTCTTTCATTTCTGGCGTTTACACATTTATTTCCGGGTCCCGCCCAAAGACATAAGGTTAGAAATGGCATCATGACACTTTCCACTGACAAAAAAAAAAAAAAAAATACATAGATAAAGCCCTTCATAAAGTGTGGGCTGTACTTGTCAGAACAATTTTTTGTATCTCTTTGAGGCATGGACTTCCAGGAATCGCTTCAATTAGTCTACTGCAATCTTTTCCAACCAATCCTAGGGCTCCAACTTATTATTATTATTATTATTATTATTATTATTTTTATTATTATGGTCTATTTTGCCGTCCTGTGCTATGGCTGATGTTAACTTCTAGGAGAGTGACTTATTGCATCTTCTCCAGAAGTGGAAAGATTATATTGAATCAGTTACTAGTCCTGCTGAGATTAAAACTGATTCACTGTGTCATACTGGGCAATCTTTCTCATCTTTCTTGCATATTTATAAGCATATCATTCGCCCCTGCTTCAAATATTGTTGCCACATATGATCTTGCTATATATTACGAGATCTTTGATAAAAGCCCAAGAAGAAGAATCAGCAATATTTTGGACTTGGCCTGGCATATCGGCTTATATTCACATAACGCGCATATACCCTTGGGAAAGCAGAGACCACCTCCTATTCCGCGGCACGACACCATTATTATCGCACCCATCCCCTCAAAACAACTATTCTAACAATCTAAAAAGGTTTTCTGGCTTTAAATAACCTGAAAAGGGTTGATAAACCGGAGAAAATAGATCAATCAATATTTGTATTTACTTCTCAATATCTATCTCACTATCTACGCAGAAATATATAAAATAACAAAACATTTTTTTTTCTTATTTTCGGGCAAATATCTAAAAATATACACTCTCATCAAATGCTTTCGTTACTTTCTTTGTAATATTTATGGAATGTATGTGTACATACATACGTATTAAAATCACTCTCTCTACACATATATATATATATATATATATATATATATATATATATATATATATATATATATATATATATATATATATATATATATCCGGTTATTTGGACTTTGTTATTAAGTTTAATTACGCGTTCTATCGCTCCTAATACCATTACCGACGCTAATCCGGTATTTCCCAAGCTGAATCGTCTAAGCGTCGTTAAGTTCTATAATCCTACTCATTGAGCATATATTAAGCTTCTAATCAGTGGGTAGCAAGCTCTCGTGGTTTCGAAGGGTTAGGGTAGGCCGACGTACCAATCCAAGCAAAGACCGACGGACGGACGATACACAAAACACCGTTATCGTTTTTTTTGTTGTTTTGTTTTGTTATTCTTTTTATTATTTTTTTTATTTTTGTTACAGTTTTCTTTCTTGGGTTGGAGGGGGGGTTCCTTACTATGAGTATTTTTACTTAATGGTTTTAGGTTTCGATATAAAGATAAATGGTTAAAAGAATTTTTTTATGCTATTATAGCATTCTTCTTCGACACTGGCGCTACAGAATCACAAACATTTGCAACAAATAACAGAAACTAAGCTACAACGATTGAGAACTTTCGACGCCAGCAACAACTAAAAAAGATTATACTCGAAAAGAAAATCAAGAAAAAATCAAGATGTTCACTACTTGAAACAGAAGGTTGGGAATTAAAACGAATAACTACTGGAAACAATGATAACAGCTACTGGATTTGAGAAGCCTATTTTCCTGAAAATGTTAGGAAGGTGGCTTCCATCTATAATGGAAATAGCGAGAACAGCTTCTGGAGTTTATAAACCTATTTTCCTGAAAAGATTATTAAGTTAGCCTCCATCTATACTGGAAAAAATGAAAACAGCTACTGGACTTGAGAAAGCTATTTTCCTGAAAATGTTAGGAAGGTAGCGTCCATCTATAATGGAAAGGGCAATAACAGCTACTGGACTTGTGAAAGCTATTTTCCTGAAAAGGTTAGAAAGGTAGTCTCCACCTATACTGGAATGAGCGATAGCATCTACTGGGCTTGAGAAATCTATGTTCCTGAAAATATTATAATGTAGCCTTCATTTATACTAAAAATAGCGATAACAGCTACTGGACTTGATAAACATATTTACCTGATACGTTTAGGAAAGACCGATAAAACAACTGGCTATGAGAAATCTGTTATTTTCAGAGAAATACTTCATGAAATTCAACCGAAAGCAATACAATGTGTTCGGACAATTAATGTCAAATGTTTCTTTGTAACGTAACGAATTATAATACCATTACCATTGGGATGGAACAAGAAGAGGAATGAAGAAAGTTTAAGCAAAAACATTGATCTAGACAAGTTTAGAAGTGTGTATCAGAGTGTGAATAAATAAAAAAAATATACAGTAGAATAAGTTAGAAAGATTTAAAGGAAGATAAAATGAGGCATTGACTAAATAAACGTGTCTAAATGGCATATGGACAGACAAGAGACAGAAAGAAATAAAGTGTGAATGGGCCAACAAGCAGAATTAAAAATTATCTGATAATTAAAATGAAGTTTATTTACCTTGTCGTCTTCCTTGTTTCGTGTAGGGCCATAACAACACGTAAGGTGTTGCTACTGTAGTTTCCATGACAACTAGAATTTTTATGGTTGAAGTTTCTCGTCCTTCGCTTAGCCTAGTTTAAATCCAATTTAGAAAGGTCCATCTTAAAAAGCACATTGCAAGGAGGATGAGATGGATTCATATATTTCATTTTGCGAAAGCGAACATGATGGAATCGGGTCGAACATGACTCTCCGGTTAAATTTCTGCACTACACACACATCCGGGGTGAAAAAAAAAACGATGAAAGAATAAAAACAAGAGGAAGAGATAAATAATGTGAGTTAAGAAGGTAAGGTTAGAAAGAAAGAAAGAAAGAAAAAAAGAAATACACAAACAAACAAAAAGAAAGACACAAACAAACAAAAGAAAGAAAGAAAGAAACACACAAACAAAAGAAAGAAAGAAACTAACAAACAATCAAAAAGAAACACACAAACAAACAAAAGAAAGAAAGAAAGAAACTAACAAACAATCAAACAACAAGAAAGAAACACACAGAAACACAAAGAAAGAAAGACAGAAACAAGCAAACACACCAACAAACAGAAAGAAAGAAAGAGAGAAAGAAAGAAAGAAACACACAAACAAACAAAAAGAAAGAAAGAAAGCAACAAACAATCAAACAAAAAGAAAGAAAGAAAGTAACAAACAATCAAACAAAAAGAAAGAAACACACAAACAAACAAAAGAAAAAAAGAAAGACACAAACAAAAAGAAAGAAAAAAAGAAACCCACAAAAAGAAAACAAAAGAAAGAAAGAAAGAAAGAAAGAAAGAAAAGAAAGAAAAGAAACAAAAAAAAAAGAAAGAAAGAAAGACACAAACAAAAAGAAAGAAAAAAAGAAACCCACAAACAAACAAAAGAAAAGAAAGAAAGAAAGAAAGAAAGAAAGAAAGAAACACACAAACAAAAAGAAAGAAAGAAAGACACAAACAAAAAGAAAGAAAAAAAGAAACCCACAAACAAACAAAAGAAAGAAAGAAAGAAAGAAACACACAAACAAAAAGAAAGAAAGAAAGAAAGACACAAACAAAAAGAAAGAAAAAAAAAACCACAAACAAACAAAAGAAAGAAAGAAAGAAAGAAAGAAAGAAACACACAAACAAAAAGAAAGAAAGAAAGACAAAAGAAAGAAAAAAAACCCACAAACAAAACAAAAGAAAGAAAGAAAGAAAGAAAGAAAAAAAAAGAAACACACAAACAAAAAAAAGAAAGAAAGACACAAACAAAAAAGAAAGAAAAAAAGAAACCCACAAACAAAAAAAAAGAAAGAAAGAAAGAAAGAAAGAAACACACAAACAAAAAGAAAGAAAGAAAGACACAAACAAAAAGAAAGAAAAAAAGAAACCCACAAACAAACAAAAGAAAGAAAGAAAGAAAGAAAGAAAGAAACACACAAACAAAAAGAAAGAAAGAAAGAAAGACACAAACAAAAAGAAAGAAAAAAAGAAACCCACAAACAAACAAAAGAAAGAAAGAAAGAAAGAAAGAAAGACACAAACAAAAAGAAAGAAAGAAAGAAAGAACAAAACACACAGACAAACTAAAAGAAAGAAAGAAACTAACAAACAATCAAACAAAAAGAAAGAAACACACAGAAACACAAAGAAAGAAAGACAGAAAGAAACAAACCAACAAGAGGAGAAGATAACGAATGAAAAAAGAATGTGAATAAATCAGGTACATTAGAAAGAAAAACAGAAGGGAAATAAAGAAGGAAATAATTAAGGAAAGAAAATATCGTGACATAAGAATTTAGCAAAATATTAATAAGTGCTATAAAGAATTTCTGTCCCCATCACAGATGGGATTCAAAAACCAATTGATGATTAACCATTTGTTTAAATTTTGCGAAATGAGCGTATAATTTTCCAGTGCTCGCAAATAAACACACTTTTAAACCCATAAAAGGAAAAACGTTGAAGAAACCTTTTTTGAAATTGCTATATCAATTCAGCATTTATTGATTGTGATGGATTCATTTTCTACATATTATCCACCATTTGCCGGTTATTCAAAGCCAAAGAATATTTTTAGATTTTATGATTTGTTTTCGAAGATAATAATAATTAACCCATAGCTGAGGGGAGAAGAGGTAGGTTTATAACTTTCCCAAGGATATTTTATGCGTAAGTGAATATAAAGAACCAAAGTGAAATTCGAACTCGGCACTCCAATTAACAATTCCAAGCCAGTATCCATTACATCAAGGTAAGAACGCCTAATATTCCCAAGCAGTCAGCCATCTAGGTACTGACAGCTGCTTAACTCCGTGGATCGTACGAGAACCAGTGTTTCAACATCATATGGCAGTAAGCCCTATATCAATTCAGGACCGAGATGATCCTAACCCTCCCGAAATTTCTTTTTATATATTATGTATGAATTGCTATGCATTCTCGAGAAACACAGTGCAGTTGTTTTCCGTTGCCCCCTCCACAGTTTCAAATTCTGAGAAGTAATTAACTTAGACTATTTCACAACCAAGGCTAGAAAATCTACACTATTTGGCTATTTAATTCCTAGTTACTGGAGAAAGGAGATGGATGTAATGCAGGCTTTTATAAATGCTTTATTTGCGTTAAAATAAACCCAACAGCCCGGCTTGGAAATTGAACTCGCTTCCTCGAAATAATTTTCTGTGCCGATTTCTATTACACAGCAAGCACTATCTAATAAGCTTTTCTAAAATACGGTGAAATATGTTTATCGATAAATTTGATGAATCAAGTCAAATATATTTGTTCATTGGTGTCGCTGATTTGAATAAACGGTGGTAAAAGCTGGTATCTACTGCATGTAAATGTGCGTCACTCTGCAGAGCCAAAAATGTTTTCTCTTGTGAATCCATCTGGAATATTTAAAAATCCAGCATTCGTCCGTGCATTGATTACAATTGCCATAGTGCTCTTGATGTAAAAACGAGAACAAAATCTACTTCCATACCTGAGGATGTCCGTAGGAACAGACGAAAGCTTGTAAAAACTAAAAAAGATCTTATGCAACTGGAATTTATAAACAGAGATCATATCATTCATATACAGGTTCGGGGTTGGTGTATCTTATTGAAATTGTTTGCGAAGATGTATTCTCGCCATTTAAATCATTAACCTCTATATTTGTTTTTTGTATAAATGATTTTATATATATATTGAATTAAATAATATAGACAAAGTGTCTATTTTAAGTAAGTTCCTTTCAAATTGTCTGATAAGCTTAATAATATTATCATTGAAAGGCGAAAAGATATCACCGTATTGATACATGTTTTAATCCTATCTAAGCTTTTATATAATCCGAAAGTTTAGATTGGATTTAAACATGTATCAATCAAAGGAATGGACAATTTTACTAAAAGTGTCCCAGATAATATCAATATAAAAGTTGCCCACAAAATTGCCCTATTACGAACATCCCATATACTAAGAAAAGTGCTATCAAGTAAATCACAATTCTCCTATCCTCTCCAGGATACAAAGCAGGAAACATAACATATACAAATGAAAATAATCAGATTGCACGATGTTGGCACCCACTGAATATAAAACCCGACATGACAGAGTGGGCCAATATCTGCACTGGAAAATCTGAACTTCTACGGGAAGGAAACTGAAAGAAACTGGTATGAACACCACCCAGACCCGGTTACGGAGATAGGACCTGTTACAATTCTATGGGATTACACAATACACACTGACAGAACAATCAAGGCCAACTGCCCAGATATTGTTATTAAAGACCACAAACAAAAACGGTGCTTCCTTATTGATATGGCAGTCCCTGCTGACTGCAATGTATCTTTGAAGATATTCAAAAAACTGTCAAAATACAAGGACCTTGAAATAGAAATCTCGAAAATGTGGCATATGGGAACATCAACAATCCCTGTTGTAGTTGGAGCCCTAGGACTGGTTGGAAAAGATTGCAGTAGACTAATTGAAGGGATTCCTGGAAGTCCATGCCTAAAGGAGATACAAAAAATTGTTCTGACAAGTACAGCCCACACTTTACGAAGGGCTTTATCTATGTAATATTTTTTTTTGTCAGTGGAAAGTGTCATGATGCCATTTCTAACCTTATGTCCCTGGGTGGGACCCGGAAAGAAATGTGTAAACGCCAGAAATAAAATAAAATAAAATAATAATAATAATAAATTAACTAATTCAGCAAACTCTTTTTTTTACATTATTCGGACCGGTTTTACGAAAATCTAATTAAATTGATTACTTTGTCATCATTTTTCATCGGCTCTTTATTCTTTTCGACTGATTCCTTATAACAGACTTCAACAAGAATTATTATATACCTTGTAAGTTGGTTAAGTTACGACTGAGTATTTAAAAGGAAGATATCAATTCTTTCTTTTCAAATACAAAGAATTTACAAATAAAACTTTATTGCCAGCACCATTCCTTATGATTTAACATTTGAGTTAAAAATGAGCAAAATTGAACAAATATCTATAAATGTGTGTTTTTAAACATTATTATGCAAATTAGATATTTCAGCTAATGTTATGATCACCATTTAGTAGTAATAGATATAAAATCTAATAGTTTCGCAAATTGAATTTCGGACGCAGTGTAATGGTTAACAAGTTTATCTCGCTAGATCAACGAGTTTGATACTTTTAGGTGCCTTGTACTTTCTGCTTTGTGCTACATTTAAACTACAATTAGAAAATCGCCAGGTCATCTCGACGTAGTGTAAAGGTTAACAAGTTTGTCTGCGTAGATCAATTACGACTGAATATTGAGTTCGATCCTTTCTGTCCCATTCTTTCTAACTTGTGCCACATCTAAGCTAAATTTATTAAAATGCTGTATACATAGGAAGCGAGAGCTTTCAGTGGATTGTTCGATTATGTTTCTGAATCGATTTTCTTGATAAATTGATATAATGGCTCTTTCCAAACAAAGTCATTTCTCGTCAAAACTGAAGTTTCGTATTATAGATCACGAGAAATGTTTTTACAGTGTTTCAAACTTGCGGCTATAACACAATTGTGCGCTAAGAGACTTTGATGGCTTCGAAGTTAAAGATTAGAAATTTAGGTTCTTCATGCATGAAAACTAGCTGGTTATTTGCTTGTTGTCAAATAATACATTTTTTTGCTGTTTGAATGTTTTTAATTTGCCGGAAAACTATCTATAAACATAAAAAAAAATGTCTTAAAACAATTGTCGGACTTTGTTCATTTCATAAAGTGCGAGGTCATTTGTTTACATCTGGATACGCATCGAGCAGATGTGAATGTATGAGAGAAAATCATGGAGAATTGTAGTTTAAAAACAGTAAAAATCCACCTTGCTAACCGAAACGCTCCTCTGTGGCCAAATCGATAAAAGCACGTTAGGCTATATGACGGTTCCGTATAGGATGCAGGTTCGATTCCTGTCGGACGACGCATATTTTCTATGAAAATTTTTCGGACATTCAGGCTGGTAAATGTAGTTAATACTGTTTATTATAAACAGAGCATCTACTTAAATGTCTGTATCTATAAAAAAAGAACGTATAAAGTATCTAGAGTTCAATAACCTCGTTTTACGACGGCAAGTTGAAATTAATATCAGCTCAAACCACGTGATAGTAACTCTCCTTTGGGAGAGCCCTGCACTCATTAATGGAAATTGCCAATGTGGGCTTGAGCAATGTTTGCACGGCTTTCTGAAAATCCCACATTCCGTTGCAACATGTGTGCACTGATTCATTACATATAAGCTCTAAGGGGGCATGCCCACCAGGAGTACCACGCCAGAAGAGGAAGAACCAAGAGAAGATGAGAAATTATTCTACGGCGTTTTCTGAAATCACACTTTAAACTCCGACCTTGTGTCATAATTTTAATATTAACTCAAGCCCCCAAAATGACGTTTCGTCAGTACGCACTTTTTCCTCGTGAGAGGGCTGGGGTCATTAACTGGCGTGCCCAAAAGTTAAAGTGCTGAGGGAGACTGAATAATTTTTGAACGGATATCCAAATTAAACCTTGACCTTGTGTCAACGATGTGGCCGTTTTGATTGTTATCCATGCTAAATATGGTAAATTTGCTTTTTAACGCCCGGCCGCTAAATATCTCTTAAAATTTTCCCAAATCGCCAATAATTTCGTGTAAATGTGCATGCTGAACGAGAATTAACAATTAAATTATGAATAAACCTACCGTTTTGGAGTTATTGACAAGAAAAAATCGAACTTCTTTTTGGTCATTCTTCCGCCATTACTGAAAATTAGTTCAGTAATTCACTGCGGTGACGTAAGCTTAAATGTTGGCCTATTTACTTCTTTTGCAGCTATATCTCTTTTTGAAATCACTACGCATTATCGTAAATCATTTTTGTTTATAATTGTATTTTTATTTATAACAGAAACTTTAAACAAAAACAAATTCAATAATACAATAAACTTTTGTTTCTGTATAGAATAGCAATGAAAAATTAAAAGAACAAATTAAATAATGCAATAAAGCATTTTTATATTTTGAAATTAAAAATAAAACAAACAATAATTAATGCGCGTACTTGGTAAAGTATAAACGAAATAAGGTTTGATTGTATTAATCTTCTTTTTTTTTTAATTTGCCCACTTTTTTACACAGAAGGAACCCTAAGCCCATCCCTAACCCTAACATCTAATCCTAAACTTAACCCATAAAGATAACACTTTGCAAAGAGCATGATTATGTACAAAATACATTACAAAATAAAAAACAATGCTAGAAACGAAATGAGGGTTTATTGTCGTATTTAATATCTTTTTTCTTTTTCAATTTGTCCGCTTTCAATTTAAAAAAAAAGGCTTTATTGTATTATTTAATTTGTTCTTTTAATTTGTCATTGCTATTCTACACGGAAAAAAGATTCTATTGTATTATTTAATTTGTTTTTATTATAGATAAATCTACACTTACCAAAAAAAAAAAAAATGCATTTCCTTACGGTAGCGCGTAGTGATTTTCTGCACCGAAAATTTCTAAAAGAAGTAAATAGGCCAAAATTTATGCTTGCGCAACCTGATGTGCCCCGAACTGATACTAAAGATGTAGGCAGTAATGGCGGAAGAATGACCAACAAGAAGTCCGATTTTTTCTTGTCGATAACTCCAAAACGGTAGGTTTCTTCATAATTTAATTGTTAATTCTAGGTCAGCATATACATTTACACGGAATTATGAGGAATTTAGAAAAATTTAAGAGATATTTAGCGCGCGGGCGTTTGGGCTTTAAAAAACAAATTTACCCAAAATATTTCTCTCCTGATTCAAGCTGGGGACGTACATATAAAGTTTAGCCATCTGCGAATTTATTAAAGATTCTGCCTTGCTCCCTTAAAAACACTTTCGAAACAGTGTTGTGGTTCATTACGCCCTCTTGGGCTGACGGTTTTCACTGACACAGGGGAAAGATTATATTGAATCTATTTGCTAGCTCTGCTGCTAAGAAAGTGGGTTCACTAGATATTGTGATATACAATATTTCTCGCCAGATCTATCTTATACATTTATAAGTCTACCATTATTTCAAGCATTGAATATTGCTGCACCATTCGGTCTGGTGCTTTAGCTACACACACACACACACACACACACACACACACACACACACATATATATATATATATATATATATATATATATATATATATATATATTTTCTTTATAGTACCAAAAGAATACTCATCGATTTTGATCCTGACACGGAAACTCGGATACAGCCAGTTTCACATCTCCGTAATGTAGCTTCCCTGTACATTTTATAAAAAATACTCTTGTGGTAATTCTTCTGATAAGCAATCTTCTTTGATACGTCGACTAAACGCGGTACTAGGTTGGTGACTAGGTCTCATCATTTTACAGTTGAAATGTCTAGATATAACCATAAGTTTTATGCTAACATTTTCTTCTCTAGCACCTCTCGCGTATAGAACTTTCTTCCGGATTTTTCCTTTGATCTTCAAATATTTAAATGCAATTCCAATCATTATTTTCTGTATTCTTAATTTCTGTTCTTTTATTGTTCTCTCTTTTAATACTGTTTTATTTTTCTCATATTCTCTTCACTAAATAACAACTTGCGTCGCGGTGACTTTATTTACTTACATGGGGTGAAATGATAAAGAAAACAGTTTTTAACCAGTCATTCAAGCAGAAAAAAAAACCATATACTTGCGTTTAATATATTTCGTTATTGAACGCTACATCGTACTCAAATATATTTTATCCTGAGATGTTAGGGTGACGATCTGTCGTTTGTTTTTTGGCTATTTACGTCGCTGTCAAGATGATTAAAAGACAAGGTCTTGATTTGTTATCATGCCTGTCAATAGGTGCGTTTATCGGATCCTTAGGTTGACAGACGACGCGGATAATGTATCACCGGATTAAATACACTCCCGGCTACAAAAGGGCCCTGACATTCCATGCGGATGTCATGTCCTTTAGGGAGATTTCTTTGACGTAAAACTTTCTGTAATCCTCTTTTAATGAGAACAGGCCTTTTCTTTTATTTTTATATTCAGTCGCATCTTCCTGTGTTTGATTATAATCATTATTAATATTAAGAAAAAATATTTGTAGGATGCTTATATTCCCTTCGTTCTTACCAATTATCTCTAATGATACTACTACTACTACTACTACTACCACAAGTAATAATAATAATAATAATAATAGTAATAATAATAATGTTTATTAATCATGATTATAATTAATGTGTTTTCTTGCTTTGTTGTTGCTTCTAACATTAATATAATTGTTGTAAAATCTCGCTACTCTAATGTTATCATAATATCAGCACGACATCATTATTATTGTTGTTGTTGTTATTACTATTATTATTAGTAGTAGTAGTAGTAAGTAGGGCTAGGGTACAAATATGCGAAAATCAATGCAACCGTTATTGATACTACTCTCATCCCAATTCAATGCCAGAGAGCCACTCAAGTTAGAATGCTACAAATACATTTAGGAAAGGTACGAATCCATCTCATCTTCCCCGAGATATGGGTTGAATAGCAGGATAGACTGAGTCCTATAGCCTTGGATGGCATCCAGTCTATTTTAGATAGAAACGGCAACCCACTTCAGGGAAATCTTCTGCCTAGCTAGTCATTAATCGAAAGAGACATGATTGCCTAAGCTTATATCACGTATAGTACTCTCTCTGTCTTTTTTACAAATACTTTCATGGTAATTGCTCCGAGGGGCTGCTTTCGCGGGTTCCCAGACTCCATGAATTCAAGCGCCCGACGAGGCTGGCATCCCGCTCTCAGCCTTTCACAGTCGAAACTACTAAATGTAGCAGTCTCTTCTACTCCAATAGCTTCATGTCTCACACTTCTCGCCTTTGGAACTCTCTTCTCTATTCCTGTTTCCCTGAGAGCTATAATCTCAAGCTATGCAAATGTAATGTCAATCGACATCTCCAGTTGCCTTGATCTATCCACTACCCTTCTCCTCATTCTTTCTTCTATCACTCCTATCTGCTTCTACATTTGTTTATATATATATATATATATATATATATATATATATATATATATATATATATATATATATAAATGTTTCAAACAGTAATATTCCATGGTTATAATTTATTCTATTATATTGGAATCAGACCTACAATTTTTTTTTTGAATTTGTGATGTGATGTGATCGTAATTACGATTCCAATGTAATAAATTATAACCATGGAATATATTGGTGTTTGAACCTGTTATATTATATTCTTACTCTGTCCTGACATTGAATTCTACCTGGATTCTATCCTCTTTGGAATTTTATATATATATATATATATATATATATATATATATATATTCTATATATATATATATATATATATATATATATATATATATATATATATATATATATATATATATATTATTTATATAAAAAAATTTATTTAAAAAAAATTATATAAATATGTCATAAAATCAAATCAATAAATATGTTATAAAATCAAATCAATTCCGAGGTATCACTTAAGAACATTCCCACCACGAACAATATACTTGGGTCATATATATATATATATATATATATATATATATATATGTTAAATCAATTTCTTTTGCATATGACTTTTGTCAGGAGATATCTTCACTGTCTGTGCGTTTGGTATCAAGGTTAAAATCGTTCGAGCGTATGTCGAATTTTTTATTCATTTCCTCTATTCAACAAATATTTTACTCTTCAGGCCAAAAGTTTGGAGCCAACTTTTGGATTAACTAATTAGTAAGTTTTCATACCTTCCTTGGTTTAATTTACTCCTATTAGCTTTGGATGTTGAACCCATTTAACCCATTAGCGCATGGCGTCAATTTTTTTTTTACTTTTATTTTTTTTTTTATGAAGAGGGTTACTTCAATTTTAAAATGCGCCAACCCTAAGTTTAGATTTGCCAGGAAGTTAGATTAAGCAAAAAGAGACAAAATCCTAAGGAAATTTTTCTTTTCTCGTTAATCGGTTAATTTCATTATTATTATTATTATTATTATTATTATTATTATTATGATTATTATTTTATTCCTGTCAAAAGCATTTTCACATGAGTAATTAAAATTGCATAGAAGCATGCAGAAGTAACTTTTTTATGACGTCAATCTTCACGACGAGTAAAAATTACAGCTAGTTATTATTATTATCATCGAATATCTGAAAAATCCCTTTAGGAAGAGAAAGTCCACCTGGCCGGATGTGACCTAGTAAATTAATGTTAAAATGCAACGAAACCTTCAATTTTAGGCGATTTATCAAAATTTGGGCTTATAATACATAGATATGAACAGGCTGAGAATGATAGACAGACAGACAGATAGATAGATAGATAGATAGATAGATAGATATATATATATATATATATATATATATATATATATATATATATAGCTCAGTCTATTCTATCTATTTATCCATATATATATATATATATATATATACAGAGAGAGAGAGAGAGAGAGGGGGGGAAACGAACAGGCTAATATGGATACACACATAGATAGCTACACAGATATCAGCAGAATGCGCTAGATAGATAGATAGATAGATAGATAGATAGATAGATGATCTGAGCTATATATATATATATATATATATATATATATATATATATATATATAGTTCAGTCTGTTCGATCTATTTATCGACATATATATATATATATATATATATATATATATAGAGAGAGAGAGAGAGAGAGAGAAAAAGGGAGAGAAAGAGAGGGAGACGAACAAACTAAGATGGATACACAATTAGATAGCTACACAGATATCCACAGAATGAGATAGATAGATAGATAGATAGATAGATAGATAGATAGATAGATAGATAGATAGGAACAAGCTGATAGATAGATAGATAGATAGATAGATAGATAGATAGATAGATAGATAGATAGGAACGAGCTGATAGATAGATAGATAGATAGATAGATAGATAGATAGGAACAAACTGAGATAGATAGATAGATAGATAGATAGATAGATAGATAGATAGATAGATAGATAACACTGTGTAACGCTATTTTTGTCCCTGGGTAGGAATTATTATTTCCTGTTATGTCTAGAAAGGATGAAAAATGGCTCATATTTTCCGCATTTTTTTCAATTTTGTGATGAGGATAATTATATTTCTGAAATTTACCAATTCCCGTTGGGAAAACTTGTGAATGTGAACATTCTTCTTCGCGCGAAGTCGGAATAAAATGACATGTGATTAACATTTATTTATTCTCCGATTTCACAAGAGAAACCACAAAAAATTAAGAATGAGTTGGTTTTCGCGGTTTACCGATATACTGTAAATCACGGATCAACCCACACCACTATAATCTCCTATCATATTTTCGTTATACGATCCTTGGTAAGCGACATAAATGTCCAGTATATCCTGGTGAAAGTGATCGCCATGCTCCTCTGAATACGACGTCATCTTTTTTTCATTCAAGATAAGAATCAAGGATATGGACTTTGAAGGACATGTGACGTCGTCTCCCCTGGTCGCAGCGTCGACTGTGTCGTTCGATCCCGTTCGCGGCGCCAGCTGTTCGCTCCTCGCTGCTCCAAGTGTGACGTTCTAACCCTTTGGTTAAATGAATACCAGCCTCGTCGTTCCCAACCCGCTTCCAACGCCTGGTTACCAGGGTAACTGCACTGATCTCCGGTCTGCCTACCAACGTTGTGATTAGATCTTAGACAGACGGGACCAAACAGGGATTGGGCCGTATGCAAGCTGAGTCCAACGGGGGTGATAACACACAAGAAAAATAAAAAACTCACAAGGTCAAAAATATTGAAGAAAAAGGTAACAACTTTTTATATCTAATTGCTCGTTACACAAGATTATTCCTACCTCCCGACCCGTTCTGTGGACTGTGGCACCACGCTTCTACCAGGCAACTTTAAGGCTTCGAGTTGCCTGCTCTCTAGAAATTTGCATTTCGGGGTGTGGTTTGGTTTCAACACTGGGCGCTGATCTCTGCTTGTCGTTCACGGCTGATCTCTCTCGCCGTCCGCGGCGCAAAAAACTCTTCTCTTCAGAGTCTGAATTATTGTTCACTCATCTCCGCCGTCAGTGCGAGAATTAACTTCTTCTATTTGGCTTCGGTTGGACGAGCTTATTCACTTCGGCTTGGGTTGGACGAACTTCTCTTCTTAGGCCAAACGGACCGGCCTTTCTTGCCCGCAAAGGGGCGAATGAACCGGGTCCGCCGTCCGCGCTCAAACTCCCTCGCCGTCCGCAGCGCAACTCTCTCTCGCCATCCGTGGCTGCAACTGATTTCTGTCGGTTGGGGTCTCGTTTTTATTGATGCAGTCAAAACTGGGGTGGGTCTGTCGGCGCCAGGGTTTTCTTGATAATTCTAAATACGTATCCACCCTTCTTATTTCTGATTAGGGATTTTCCATTTTCGGTAACTTACTTTCACTCCTACTCCCTTACTGTGCCTCTGGGGGCGTATACCCGCTTCCCCGCTCCTTCGTATATCATGTGACCGCTCTCGTCCAATGGGGTCCTGGTCGGGCATCTTTCCTCCTCCCTCGCACGTCATGTGACCGCTCTCGGCCAATGGGATCCTGGTCGGGTGTCTTTCCTCCTCCTTCATTTATCATGTGACCGCCTTCGGCCAATGAGGCTCTGGTCGGTATCTTTCCTCCTTCCTTCGTGACGTCTTTAATCGGGCGTAGACAATCCGTGGCTTTGTTCTGGGGGAAGAAACACCTTGCTTAAAGAAACAAAAATTTAAATTGCCCTTTTCGTACGTGACCGAAATGACGCTCTCGGTTTCTTTTACGCGCGGTATTTGTCAAACAGTTTATCGCTAATTGGATACGATCTAAGAAAGGGATTTCCCAGACTGGGTGGCGTTTTCGCGAACTAATAAAAATATTTCACTTTTTTCTTTCGCTCGGAGCTTGATAACAAAAATCTTAATTATCTCAAAAAAAGCATTTTCTAACATCACCCTGTGTGGCTCCATTTTCCATTCTGGGATTGTCTGGGTTTTCGTATTAATGGTTTGCCTGTATATCCTTAGATAAACTCCCCACCTGTTACCTATCATATTTTTTCCATTGTCTCTAAACTTTATTTCTTCAACCAAATTGATAACAAACTTCCATTTTTCGTGGACACGGAAGCAGGTCAGGTGCTTGACCGGGATCTTCCAACATCTGTTATGTATCAATCGAGCGTGTGTGTTTTCGCTTATGACCTGGTTTCCGTATTATATTTTTTTTTCTTTCTTTTTCTTCTTCTTCTCTTTCTCTCTCCCAGATCACTTGAACGCAATTAAAGAATTATTCTCAAAACCCAAATATTTTTCAGCTCTAAATAATTATCAAATGGTTGACAAACCGTAAAAAACAAATCATATATTTATGAATATTTCCTTTCAGACTGCCAACTTATGCATGGTGCCACAGACATCTTGCAGCACATTGTTCTTCACAAGGGCCTCAAAAAGCTCCACATACTTTTCGGTCATGGGATTCCTCGTGAGGTCCCGAGTCATTGCGACAAATCTGCTCCATCCTGCTTTCTCTGTCCTAGGGAGTCCAGGTTATTTCTAGCACTCTACGCAGACACCGGCTTTACGTTTGTCGCTTATATCTTAGAAAAGAACGCTGGAAGTTAATTGAAGGCTCCAGAAAGTGATAAATTGTTCCATAATGTCCAATTTTAAGTTCAGTGGATGAAACAATACTTTCCGGAAATAAAACTATGCCACTATATGAAGTTGTTCCTCCAGACCCTGAATTCGATTCGCTGTGGCCGGTCCCCACTTGTTATTATGCGCCCCGGTGACACTACTGCCCCAACAGCAAATAGAACAAAGGATCTTGTTAAAGCTTCCTTGGAGACCCATCAAGAGGGCCACGATTTTGATGTCAACCGATAACCTGCCATCCATACTGTTTATATTTCAAGGCATCTAGTAAGATCTTGACATTGCCTTATTCCTTTTTGAGCTGCACCGAGTAACGCAGTGGTAGAGACGTTCCCAATATGAAGCAGCACGCTATTTATCGATCCACCCACGAGGATTGAATATGGCACAAGGCCGGTTTAATGTGGGAATCTCCGAGCCCGTAGGCTCGGCCAAAAATATAGCCTTTGAACCCGCCTAGACGGGTTCAGGCCATGTCTACCTCCCCGGACGAAACCTTGCCCTTCGGCCAAGCTTCGTCCGGGTTCCTCTCTGCTAATGCAGTGAGTTCGACAGACGTCGCTTACAGTCAAAGACTGTATCACGAAGCAGCACCGAATTGAGACTCAGCGACGAGGCGTCTGTGAACAGACTTCACCCACTGGGGTGACAGGCGATTCAACTTGCCTTGAAACAGAACGGTCACATTGTGACAGAAACAAAGCCCATCTTGACGGGTGAAAAATCTTTCAAAACACTAGTGATGCTTTTTCTGACCTGCGACTTTCTTCAAACAAATTTCACTTCTTCGACATTGAACTTTGAGAGACGAAGATCTCTAATCAGATTGTTGAGGTCTTTTTAGTCGGTGTAGTTTGGGTTTCTCTCCTCACATCCGCCTCTGTAATCTGGATTAATGATTTCATCATCTTCTGAAGAAGGCTTATCTCACTCTTTGGAATATCAGGAAAGTGTGGAAAAGTGTGACGCTTAACCTAGAAAATATATTTGGGAATTTATAATATTATAGACATATGTGGGACATCTATTTTTTTTTTTTTTTTTTTTTTTTTAATATTCTGGATAAATTTAAATTTATTAAGAAATTACCCGTTCAAATAATTTGTAATTTCTAACCGTGTTTTCAATTATGCGTTAAGTTTTTACTTTATATATATATATATATATATATATATATATATATATATAGCGTATGAGGTTCAAGCAGCTCAGTTCCTAGGAACCGACAGCCAAGACACATATGATTTGATTATAGTGGTGAATGCTTTGTGCAGAACCAACCACATTTTTTGAAGGGTCGAACAGAGACCTGGTGCACTACGTTCCAAAAGAACCCCAGACGACTCTCCTTAGATTTTGAATTCAGACCTGACCTTCTGCTAGACCAGTTGCAATATCCAGCTGGATGAAAGAAGAGGATTAACAACTGTCCCAGCGATTAGCACGTAAATGAACGTCATGGATTAGACTGGAATTTGAACTTGGTTCCCCGATTACTCAATCCGAGCCACTATCCACTACTCCACCACCCTCTCTCTCTCTCTCTCTCTCTCTATATATATATATATATATATATATATATATATATATATATATATATATATATATATATATATATATATATGTAGTTCACTGCTACAGCAAGCAGAATTTTTTTCTCCTGATAATGTCCATGTTGGCTGAAACTAGTCGAAGAATCTAAATTAAATAATGCTAAAAACGAAAGAAATACTAATATATAACTCAGTGTATCTGAAGATTTTCATTTTTTAATATTTTATTGTTCAATATATATATATACATATATATATATATATATATATATATATATATATATATATATATCAAGTATTATTACTTAACATATATATTTATATATATAATATATATGATACTTAATATATATATAATACAATATATATATATATATATATATATATATATATATAACACTTAACAATCAAAGAATGGATTATTCACAGCGTTATAATAATACGTTGTAGCTGGAGCAGGTCAGAGTAAACCCTTCCCAGAATATACCAGAGTATAGCATAGCCTTGTACAGCCAACACATCGGGTTATGTTTGGTGCCAGGGTACTGAATAGATGGGATTATAACACAACCTAGTTTAATCTATAACCTCCAAAGCACTTATCATCAGGATCAACGTTTCATGTGAAGATCCAAGATTTACCTGTAATAATGAACATTTTGTAGTCTCTGTTAGGCCTTAAATGAGGTGACAAACTCATTCCACGGCTAAATTGTAACACATATAGGATCGACTCTGTAGATGCTGAAAAAATGGGCGCGGATCCAGGAGTCAGATACGTTCAGGAATT